ACGCGGGATTGTATGTTTCAATTATGAATCCCAATGATCTTGGTATAATAATTGAATCCCCATATACCTGACACGTGGTATTACATATACCAGTCAATGTAAAATATCTGTAAATACATAATTGTGTGATAAGTCCAACAATACTGTTGCACCAATCGTTAGGTATTCCCTTGTACATGGTCAATTCAAGATAATTTGTGCCATTACACACGCCACCACTGACAACACCGCTATTATGAGTAAATCCATCACCTTGATCAAATTCATAAACGTTATATCATTTATATAAACTTGCATTGTACATTAACCTACCATTAATGAATGTGGATACACGGTGTAAATTGGTAAGGTTAACAGGTACAATTCTAGGTGGTATAGCCTGGATGCCTAACCATAACAGAGGTGGTGCATTCATCTGGAGCACGCCATTGCAACTGACTAACACAGTGGCTGACCCGCCTATTAATATTGTACTTATATTCACCGCACTACCAGCCTGTGTGGTACATATACCCATAGATCAATCTTAGAAAACTTGATTAAAACAAAATACATTGACATGGTCACACCCACTGAATGCAGCTTACACACATACATGGTGTTTTTATGTCAGTTTCAATATTTTTTGTTTATCTTACAAAATATGAAAATGACTATATCTTGTTCATTTTGGATGCGATTTTTAAATATTAATAATTAATTTGCCCAAAATCAAAATGCGTTTAATGCTTACAAATTAGATTTTAAAATTTCTCATAATTTTAAGTCTATCTTTCTAACCTTTTGTCCTAGAACAAATCTGTAAGAGCATTGAAAAGAGCATAAAAATCTATTCAAGGTGACACTAAAAAAGAAAAATATATTTCAGCCATATATTCCAAGTTTTTATAATCAATAAAGCGCATTTTTAAACACAACAAATTTAAAATGTTATTTAATTAATATAGTACACCAGAAACTTAAATTTCACAGGTATTAATTGATCTAGACTAGATTTTTATGTTCTTTTCAATGCACTTTACAGATTTGTTCTAGGACAAAGGGCTCGAAGGATAGACTTAAAATTATGAGAGTGGTTGTCCCGAACGGACCTAAACCTTGCCTGTCGTAGGACGGGAGGGGTTGCCTCGGAAAGGCCTAAACTATTCATTTAATCACTAAATAGTGATTAGGTTTCGGATTGAATAACAATCTCTGACTGCAAAGTCAACCGATTTATTACTAGAAGGCAGCACTTGTTTATTACCAGAAGTGCACAACAATTGGGACCAAAAGTTAGGCATTTGTGTAAAGCCTTCGAATTGCAGTAACTTTTGGACAGTAAATCCGTAACCGCCGACAAAACTACACCCAATACCTCGTCGGCCAACAACTGGTCATCAATTATTAGTCCAATTGTACAGATTTTGCTTAAATTAATATTTATATTCGCATTTGCATTTTTATAAAAATCAACTATTTTTGCAATTACATTACAATAAGACCATTTGCGTAATGCCTGATGACCTATACACACACACACACACACACACACACACACACACACAAACACACATTGTTATCTCATTTATCTAACATAATACATAATAGAAATAAACTTTAAAAACCATACTTTACTATAAATTGTAAATATTGAGTACGAAATACAAACAATTTTATTAATTTTATAAATTATAATAATATCAGACATTATAGTGATTTCATTAGTGTTTAATAGTCAACGGCGCGAATACGCCCCCAATGACCGGTCGGTTCACAAACCCGCCCCAAACAGCACCGGTCTCTGTGTCGGCAAAGTCTTGAAAGGGGGCGCGCGATGGGGTTTCCCGTAGCCATTGGGCGGTCCTATCAAACATAGACTGACGGAGTTTGGCATTCGCAGAGGCGGCCGCCGTAAACATAAGCCAATCAAACTTTGTATGAGGATTACCACTCTCGAGGGGAAGGCCGTATTTGTTCATCACCGATAGGTACCACTCGTCCTGTTGCCTGTATATCTGTTTACGTACGAAATGTTACAGAATTGAATTTAAATATATCTGTGAAAGCAATACGAAATGAGTTCCGAAAACATGCTTTAATTTTATCTTTCAATATTGCTTACATGTAAAATTTGAAACAATATTTTAAGATAAAATTAAAGCATTTTTGTGGAGACCCATTTCGTATTGCTTTCTCAGATATAAATATAATGTTCAATTCCAACCGATTCGGGCACCAATTTGGTGTCCAATAGGATGTCCCCATAGAGGTTATAGATCATAAACCAGGTGTTGTTGTTGTCATTATAGCTGAGTTTCATGTGTTTATTAGTGCGGTCTTCTCCCATACGAATCCATTCCGTCACATATTTCTCAGCGATTTGTCTATACTTTTGTTGGTCGTCATGATTGCCGACCACCGCCGCCAACTGAGCCATCGCTCCGATGCCTACGATAGCTTTCGCCGAAAGGTTTGTCGAGTTTTTGATTTTCCCCAAAAAGTCATCAGTGGTTAGAGCGTCGCCTAAAATATTCAAATACAAATACATCGCTAATACTATAGTAAATTTACTATGATTTGCATGTATTGTAATCCTGTCCACATTTAGAGTGACATAACTTTGAACATTATAACATTAATCAGTTTTAAGATTAATGTAAAATGTTTAAAGTTTTGTCACTCATAGTGTGGCCCGAATTGTCACGAGTGCCTAGTGTAGTACAACATGGTGCATTTATTTTTGAATTTATTTGTTAAACAACTAAATTTAAGCAATCCCGTCTATTAAAATCATTCAAAGTATGCTTAGATTTTAAGGGTTGTTAAAAAATTAAATCCGAAAATAAATGCACCTGCCCGTACATTTCCAATTAATAATAGACTAACAGTTATGCTATATTTGATACATTAACGTACCGGTGATCAACCCGTGATCCACCAAATACTGAGTCCATTGTTTCGAGATATTATAGTGTTGTGCAGCAAATTGCGAGTCCTTGGAGGCCTTGACATAGGCGGCCATCATGATCACCATATTGGCGCTCTCCTCCACCTCCATGTCCTCCTGTTTGCCATCCTTGTGTCCAATACAACGGGGATAGTTATAGCCCAAGTCGTGCATACAGTACTTCAATGGGAATAGGCCTCTCTCCTGGTTGTCGAGCAATGGGTCCAAAAGGTATTTCAAAAGCACGGGATTTAGGTATAACTGGACGGGAAAGTGAGGGAAGATCACGTCCACTGTCTGACAGTTGCCATCCGATGAGATCTCCTTCACCATTATCCATGGCTTGGCAGCTGTTCCCACAATTTCGGTGCCGCCATAAGCCTATCGTAAAGTTATGGCAAAATTATATCAATTTGGATAAAGGTTAAAAGAAAAGTGTGTACTTTAAAAATACATACATTTAGTCATAATATAAATTTATGAGCAAACAGAATCAAATGAGCCTTACAAAAAAGCTTTAATCTTATCTTTAATATTGCTTACACGTAAAGATAAAATCAAGCCTTTTTTGAAACTCAGTTTGTTATGCCTTTTCAGATATAGTTTTATATATTTGAGAAAACAATACGAAATGAGTTTCCAAAAAAATTAATATCTCTTAACTTTATACGATAGGCGCTCATTGGGAACATTATCGATAGTCCATATTATAACCTTTAGCACGTAGTATATTATTGAAATGAACAGGTATCGATATTAATATCGACTATCCCAATGA